TGTGTGTGTGTGTGTGTGTGTGTGTGTGTGTGTGTGTGTGTGTGTGTGTTTATATATATTGGGGCACACTTTTGGTCTGGGTTAGATGCATGGCCCATGGTTCTGCAGGGATTCCAGGATCGAGGTCTTGAATTGTCTGATTGTCTTCTATGAACTCTGTCACTATCCAGAGTCAAATGGAATAATTAGTGTGGACCGAATAACTTGCTCAACCAACATGCTTCACCTTGCAGTGTAATTACGGTTTCCTTCCCCGTTTTTCATTTGATGAACCCTAAATAACGTAACGGCAAAGTAATGCAATAGGCTGCTGCATAATTTTAAAAACACAACTATGAATGATTCAGACATGTGTTTATTAATCACGATTTTATGTGCAGCGAACTCGGATAAGCACTTACGAGTGGAAATGCATCAAAAATAAATAATAGCTCATAATCTTCTTAAAAAGCGTAAAAAGACGAGTCATTTGCTGTGATTTGTGCAACTTTTTATAAATCCTGAAGCGCTGACTGAGCTCATGGGGCTGCTTTTTAACGGGCTTATGCTTTATATGGGCTATATTCTCTGTGATTGCTAATCACTATCCTCCTTTCTTTTGTGTTGTGTGCAAGATTGTGTGCAATATTCATAATTTGCTATTCATTGGTCAACACTTTTACATTGCTAGTAATCCAGTAGTACTCACTCGTAAGAGTGAGCGTAATTATTGCAATGATAATATTAATTGTAATAATCTTACCTGTAAAACGCCATAACACTATGAAAATCATGCCATTGAGTGGACTCTGCAGTTTGTGCTATGCCTTTTTAAGGAGCTGTAGCTGTTTAGCTAGCCTACCAGCAGCCCATAAACATAAACATGCACAGCACATATCTTTCTAATTGTCATAAGCCAACAAACAGGAATCTGTTACTGGTTTTCTTAGTGGTCCCGTGGTGTTTGGAAATTATTCATTTGAACCTCCTCGATCTTACCTAAAGCCAACCACTCCTACACATCCAACTCTTCCAAATTGATATATGACAATATCTACTTTCGATCACGTGTCTGCGGGGCGACTTAGACGGATTGCGCGTCATCTCGCCTTCCCAAATTTTCCCCTTCTGCTGCAGCTCCTATCCAAAACATCTATCTATAGTACGGAGCACGAGAGAGAGAGAAAGATGTTTAACTCGGTGAATCTGGGC